TCGTGATCAGACTGACCGTGCACTTCAGCTCCATAAGACAGGCCTGCTAGAGGTCCACTCTCGAAAATACTTCGGCAGTGCTTGCCCAGCACCTGCTTGGCTCGCTTGAAACGTTTCGTTCTCTTCTTGAAATCGGCTGCTCTCTTCTGCTGCTTCTGTCCTCGTCCCTTTCTCCTCCTGCTCTTCCCCGCCGTATCATCGATGCCCAAAGTTCACTGCATACTCCACATAAGAGGCTCCACCGTGCTCGCCTAGAGCTTGCCTGCTGGCTTCCCCAGTCTTGTGGGGTGAACGTATGACCGACGCTTTGTCCTGGGCAACTTGTACGCACATCTCTCCAGTGAGTCCAACGTATAGCTGTGCCGCCGTGTGAATAATATCATATGCTACTTGCTCGGGCTTACCTGTGAACGACATGCCATAATCATCGATATATATGTCCAAGGACGTGAGGGGCGGGAAAGTGATGCAGTCTACTGTGGGAATGGCGTACTCTCTAATATAAGTGGTCGCCACAGAACAGCCTGCGATAACTCCTGAAGAGGCAAAGTGAGGGCCATGCACCATGCTGGCCATCGCCAAGAAGCGTGGACCCTTGTACGCGGCGATGCTTACACGGTACAGCTGCTTCGGTAACGCTAGCAGCTCGCATCTATCTCCCAGGATGGACATCACAATAGTCTCGTAGTACTTCAGGAGGCCCCATAGAACCGTACAGGCCACCGTCTTTTCTTCTTTCTTGGGCGTTCCCTTGAGGCTCTTGGACTGCTTATGGGGCCCTGGGCGAACAGCTTTTTCAGACCTCACCGCTTGCCTCCAGACCACGTCCGAAGCTCCCGAGAAGGGCCCCGCCGCCAAGTACGGGCGCCAATTGGAAGCCCCCCAAGACGCCGCAATGCGTCTCCGAAGCTTGCCCCAAAAGCGATAAAAACTGCTGAACAACCCAATAGGTCTCCAACCTCCTGCAGGTTTGGCTAAAAGCGGGACCACAATCGTGCGGACTTGATTCGGCAGGATGGAGGTCGCCTCCATGACGGCATATAAAGACATCAGTGCCAGCAAACCTTGATCAGAGATGCTGCTGAAGTGGCGCATGTGGAAGCCGTCCACGGAGGTCGCGGACGTGAGCTTATACCGATGCGATACTGCCCTCATCCCTGGTGGCGGCACAAAACCGAGGGGCTGAATGTACTCAACTTGTTCGGGCAACTCTGGCGTCTTGGAGGCCTGCCAAAGCTTACCGAACTTCTGGGCCTCAGAGGCCAACAACGATTTGGGGTCCGCCAGCGCAGCCCCTTGGGCCGAGAGGGTGGCAGTGGGTTGCCACGCTTTGGGGAGACGAGTCCACGCATGAGCTCTCCCCGCCCCTTTATCAACCCCGTCGCATAACCGGGCCTTCCAAGACTTCTGAGCCTCCGACTTAGCCTTCAAAGAGTACGCCCCTAAGTCCTCGGAGATCTTGTCTAAGACGCTGCAGCCCAGATCTAACCCCCCAAGAACCTCCGAAACCTCGAAGACCTTACCTATGTCCTGAACCTGGATAAAGCCTTTGATGTAGTCATAAGTCTCTGAGAACTCTTCCAAGTGTCGGCCTATGCAGGCCGGGGGGTCGGCTAGGCAAGCACGTGCACCACGAAGCTGGCGGAGCACGCGAGAGCGCGCTGGCGCGGGGACTGTCGGTGTCGGTCCTGGCGGAGCTTGGCTCTCAAAAAGTATATCGGATTGCGGCAACCATGCCGGCGCCCCAACTTCGGAAGCTGGGGCCTCCGTCGCCGCCGAAACGTCCAGGGCGCGCAGCGGGCTGATAAAAAGACGGAGCGTGCTCTCCAGCCAGCGCAGCGTCAACAAAGCAGGTTGCCTGACGTCTTTCCTTTTGTCTACTTCTAAAGCTGACCTCCAAATCAACTTAGGCAACCTGCCCCTCGTACCTAACAGCGGGATGTCGATCTGTCGACTGGCAATCAATTCTTTTTCTGCTGTGTTGGCCCAAATCTTGTGGGCCAAATTCATGCGCCTCAGAATCTTATTACGTGGGGCTCCTTCGCGAACCAGTGAGAGCCCGTAAGTGGCGCAATCCAGGGCGTCGTCCCAAGACGGGGGCTCAGGGCAAGGACCTATAGGGCGCTGCGCGGGTATCACTGGAGGCTTGGAGAACGTGAGGAACTTAATGTCCGCGAGGGTGGGGTAGAACTTACTTTGGACGGGCGTGTGAGTCTTCAGATCGCTCTCCAAAATCACCCTGGCGGACTGGATACCTTTCGACAGGCCTCCCGAGACCACCATGTAGTCTAACAGCCTGACCGTGCTCGAGGCCGTCGTTGCACGCGTACCCTTCACTTCTGGGTACACTATGCAACTGGATAAACTGCCTGCCAAGTCACATTCATGTAGCTCGGCTGGCTCCATGTCGAAGTCGCCTCCGATGATGTGAGGCTTGCGGTAGCACTGCGCCGCTGCCCCGATCATGGCCAAAATCTTGAGGTTCTCAACGGAGAGCCCCTCGGAGTCGCGCAAGTAGGTCGAGATGCAAAATATCGATTCACCCCCCAAGAACCTGCACCCAACAACCGACAGCTCTTGCTTTGTATATTTTGTGGCCAGCCTCCAGGTCGTAGCATCCCAGAAACGAACGGACGAAGATCGCCACCCCGCCCGAAGCTCCTGAGCCTACTCCAGCCTCAGCCGCCGCGAACCGAGCCTTCCAGCCTTGCTTGAGGGCCCAGCTGGAGGACTCTTCAATTTGGTCGTCGAGGACCAACTTGTGCTCTTGCATCAAGATAATATGTGCTTCAGAACGTTGCAGCCGGGGCTTAGCCGATCCCCAGGAGGTGACGTTGGCCGTCTCCACAACCAATTCAAAACTTTCCAGTCCAGGGCTGCCTAGACGCAGAAACTCACCCAAGGGCTCGGACCCTGGCTCGGGGGGCGGAAAACGGCACAGCCGATTTAAAAGCTGGTGCGCCTCTGCAGGGTCTGGCGCACGCCGGCTCTCTGCAGGAGGCGCATCTACTCGCAAAAAGGTGCCCCTCTGGGGGGGCTATCAGATGAGGTAGAAGATGCTGATGCTCAGGCCCAACAGCTGGCCCATCTGGTTACCGTCCCCCTGCGCGCTCACGCGGATGCCGCTGCAGCCTGCTCTGGTGCAGGGGGAGGTGCCTGGGACGATGCACGTCGAGCTCGCTCCCTGACGTTCTCGCCCCCTCCAGCAGCCCCAGCTGTGCCCGCGCACGAGGATCCCGAAGCTGGAGCTCCTGTCCCTGGAGCTGCCGTCGCTGCTGCTCCCTGTGCTGCATCTCCTCCACCTGCAAGCTGATCCTCTTCTTCTGCTGCTTTACGTCGTTTCCTCCCCAATATTTCCATGTGCTGCGCGTGCTGCTGCTTGATAGTGTCCAACTGGCTGATGATACCGCCGAAGGCTTCATTGGTCACCCTGGCGATGTGTGCCTTGAACTCGTTCGTTCTGTCGCGCAGAATATGCTTGTCGCCCTCTGTGACAACGTACTCGTCCTCAGGCACGCTGAAGATCTCCCCAGCGTCCACGAACTCGAGACAGTCCAACTGGCCGTCCACAATATCGCGAAGCTTGAGCCCAGCAGGCTGAGGAGCAACCACCTTCTTATCGCACACTGAGCTGTGTAGCTGGTCCACCAACGCTTTGTGCTGCGCATCGGCCTCCTCGAGCTCGCTCGAGAGCTGTTGGACAACTGTGGCCTTCTCTTGACACCAGGCTCTCCACTTCTCCAACTTGTCGATTTCACCGTTGAGCTTCTTCTCGAGGAACTGAACTCGCTGATGGGCTGCGGTGGCCCTCTGCTGGAGCGGCTTCTCCTCTGGCACTTTGTTGGCCGCGCGGAGCCGCTCCAGCGCGACCTTGTACTGGCTGGCTGCGGCCACATCACCAAAGCGATTGGCCAAGGACACCATGCGCTCGAGCTCCTCCTCGCTGAGCGCCTCCCCAGTCGGAATCGGCTGGGGTCCTGGCTGCAGGGCTGGCGGCCCGTTCGCCCAAGCTCCCAAACGGTCGAGCTCGGGATCACTGGGCTCGGGCCTCGGCGCCTTGCAGTGCTTGCAGAACCAGTAGCTCCCCAAGTTCTTTCCACAGAGACATTGCCCGCACTTCCAGAAGTTCTGCTGCTGGTTGCCTTGGCCTGAACGGCCTCCAGCTCCTTTTCCATAGCCTTTGTTGCCCTTGTCGTTCCCCGTGTAACTCCAGCCTGCGTACCATGCGTCGTTGCGCTCGTTGGCGCGGCGCTGCCATGGCGGCGTGGCTGGGGCCATCCTGGCGACAGGAAGGCGGGGATGCTTGCAACTGAATCTGGCTCGCCTGTGCAGCGTGCCGTTTTGAAGTTCGCACAGGCAAGGCCCCCGCTCTCGGATCTAGCGGTCTGGGCCCAAAACGGCTGGAGGAGGAGGAGGAGGAGGAGCAGGAGGAGGAGGAGGCGGAGGGGGAGGAGGAGGAGGAGGAGGAGGAGGGGTAGGAGGGGTGGAGGGGGAGGAGGGGGAGGAGGAGGAGGAGGAGGAGGAGGAGGAGGAGGAGGAGGAGGAGTAGGAGGAGTAGGAGAAGGAGGAGGAGGAGGAGGAGGAGGAGAAAAAGGAGGAGAAGGAGGAGGAGGAGGAGGAGTAAGAGGAGGAGGAGGAGGAGGGAGAAGAGGAGGAGAGAGGAGGAGGAGGAGGAGGAGGAGGAGGAGGAGGAGAGGAGGAGGAGGAGGAGGAGGAGGAGGAGGAGGAGGAAGGAGGAGGGAGGGGGAGGAGGGGGAGGAGGGAGGAGGAGGAGGAGGAGGAGGAGGAGGAGGAGGAGGAGGAGGTAGGAGGAGGAGTAGGAGGAGAAGGAGGAGGAGGAGGAGGAGGAGGAGGAGAAGGAGGAGAAGGAGGAGGAGGAGGAGGAGGGTAAGAGGAGGAGGAGGAGGAGGAGAGGAGGAGGAGGAGGAGGAGGAGGAGGAAGAGGAGGAGGAGAAGGATGAGGAGGAGGAGGACGAGGTTGGGGTCTGGGTCTCCAGGTCCTGGGCTCGGGCGCAGCGCCGGCGACCAGCGCGGCGCCGGAGTCCGCGCCAGCCGCCGCGAGGCGCAGGGCCCAGATCTCGCGCGCCTGCGCCTCCAGCAGGTCCAGGGCGTCGGCCACCGCCTCGGGGGAGGCCAAGAGCTAATGTCCCAGACATCTGGCACCTCGCAAAAATCGAGACAACGGTCTTCCATTGTTTTCGGCCTCTCGGGGCCCTTACCGGGCCTCGGGACCTGGATAAAACGACTCGGGATGAAAAGCTGGTCCCGAGGAAGTGGTCGACAGGTCAGGGGCCCGCGTCTCGAAAAAATCGAGACGCCGGATGTCTGGTTTGGTCGGGCATGTCCCCATACAGGCAGATTTGGAGGACAAGCGAAAAATAGTTACAGCATGCGCGGAAATGGTCAACAAATGATAGAAAGATCGTCCCTACACTATTTTTGGACTATTTGTAAATCCGCCGATCGGGCGTGTGAGCTACAAGGAGCCTCAGCAAGAGCTTCAGCTCTGAGCCTAAGCAAGAGCTTCAGCTCTGCTTTGGGGGGGGGGGGGGGGGGGCGCCGGGGTAGCTCTGCCAGGGAAAGGGGGGGAAGGAGGGGGGGGCGTCCTCCATCTGGCGTTTTCTTAATGGTTCGCGCATCCCCAAGATGTTTCGGGGGGTCCCGGGGACCCGCCCCCCTCAGATCTAGCCGCTACCGCCCCCATGACTCTCACCTCGGAACCCTCTCCGAACCCTCCCCGGGGAAGGGGGGGAGGGGGGCGGGGCGGTCCCCCATCTGGCGTCTGGCGTTTTCTTAATGGTTTGCGCATGTCGAGGAAGGAGGAAGCCACAGAGCCGCAAAAATCATCGAATCCAGAGCCTCCCCCGGATCGGCGGCACTGGCCGGAGGCCACTACAATATTCCTCCTGTAGAAGAACATGCCCGACTTGAAGCTACTGATGCCGCCCCAGAAATCCGGTGACAACTCATGCTGGCCATCGCTCGGACGTCCATTTCCCGTGTTCTTTTTAGGTTTCGTGCGTGGCTTTTTCGCCAAGTGATCAGGGATGCTCCTCGATCGTCCTCGCCGAATCAAAAATGCACACGTCCGAGCGATGCCAAGCCAATGTCGTGGCTGCTCCATGGCTCGAAGGGGAGGGGGGGGGAGAGGGAGCGGGGAGGGGGGGGGGCACTAGGAGGGGGAGGAGGAGGAGGAGGAGGAGGAGGAGGAGGAGGAAGGAGGAGGAGGAGGAGGAGGAGGAGGAGGAGGAGGAGGAGGAGGAGGGAGGAGGAGGAGGGAGGAGGAGGAAGGAGGAGGGAGGGGGAGGAGGGGGAGGAGGGGGAGGAGGGGGAGGCCAAACTTATGCTGTTCCCATCGTACTTAAGAGCCACATCCCAGAAACGATTCCGAGCACCCAGCAAACAAGCAGCGACACAGTGTCGAACGAGCACCGCCTCCCAGGGCCCCGGCGCGTCGTGAGGACCCTTTCGTTTCGGTGCCTTCTTGGGGCTCGAAGCCCTCTCTGGTGGCCAAGGCCAAAGCAGGCTGGCACACCATAAGACCAAACACTGATGACCCCCCCCCCCCAAACATTCGGTGGCAGCTCATGGGAATCTCTCTCCTACCAGCTTGCCGGCTCCTGCGAATCGACGCCAATCAACGCCAAACCGACGCCAATCGACGACAGATCGACGAGCATCGACGCTAGCGGGCGCTAGATCGGCCCTATCGCATCGACTCCCAGACGCTACCCGACGCTGAAGACGGAACTCAGAGGGCAGCACACCCAGCTCCCATGATTTGCTTCCGAACAGCCATGCCCGCGTCGAGCAGGGCTGGACCTGAACGTTGTTGTTCGTTGTGTGTTCGTGTCGGTGTTCGTTTTGCTCAACCTGTTTTCCTGTACCTCCCTGCCAAAACGAAAAACAAAACCCAGCAAAACAGCGTTTAGGTCCAGCCCTGGCGTCGAGAGGACATCACACCTGGAAATGTCGGGCCGTTCTCGGCTCCCGGCGGCCCTCGCTGGGGATTCGGAACGACAAAGACCGGGCCCCGTATGGAACAGACACAATTGTTTTGGTCGGCGGGGCGAAAGCGAACCTCTTCCGTTAAAAGCCAAGCGGGCTACGCACAGCTCTAACTGGGGAGACAGTGACAGGGCAAAGGCGGGCGGGGCCCTCAGGCGGCCAAGAAATAGGGAACAGAAACAGGGCACCGCACGTCTGAGTCCAAGTCCCTGTCTCTGGGTGCGTTCTGACAAGGCTTTCGAAGCGGGTCTGGCCGTGGTGACGAGGCCCTCCCACGGAGTCCCAGAGGGCGTAAAAGATAAAAGACGGAAGCGCAGCGGTGCCCCCAGACATGCGATACATCTTTCTTCTTTTGTCCCATACGCGATTCCCGGAAACCCCGATGCCTTTCCCAGGGCTGCCTTGCATCCCGAGTCGTCTTTTGGGTCCCTGGGCCCGGCGAGGGCCCCCAGGGACCGAAAGCGGCACGAATCCTTCCGTCGCTTTTTTGCCACGACTCGAGCATGTCTGGGTAGCTTCTCCTCGTCTGAGGTCCAGAAGGCAGATGCATGTGAACCGTATCCTGCAGGTCGCATTGATGAAACATCTGCCGGGGATCACAATTCGAAAGATGTCTGCAACGAAATGAACCCCAGCGGGGCGTCCGATACCCCGGCGTCGATAGGACCCGCAGGGTGAGATCCGACGGCGCGAACACATCGAAACATCACAACACATCACGACTGGAGCTCCGATCGACCCGTGAGGGCCCTGGGGCCCGAAGCCTGACGAACACGCCCGGCTCGAAAACATCGATAGAGGCCTCCTAGATGGGGTCGGAGTAGATGGGGTCGGAGGATCGCGCCGCATCGCCGATACATCGGGATGCATCGGCGATGCATCGGCGATGCATTGGCGATGCACTGGCGATGCATCGTCGACGTGGGCGATCATCGGCGACGCCGGCGCGGAGAAAATCGGGCTCCGCATCGAGCCGCATCGGCGATGCATCGGCGATGCGGCGCGATCCTCCGACCCCATCTACTCCGACCCCACCTGGGAGGCTCAGCATCGAGACGCCAGGACCTCAAGGGCAGCTGGTCGCAGACGCCGCGCGCCGGCCCTCGCCTCGGGGCCTGCTGTGCGCCCAGGCGGGCGGAGGGCCCCGGGAGCCCCGGCCGCTTCCCCGGGGCCGCGGCCTCGCCCCGGAGATGCGCTCCTGGCGGTCCCGGGGCCCGAGAGGGGGCCCCTGCAGGCCGCAGTCTCGGGCAACCCGCCGGCGGAGCAGTGCTCGCCGGCTCTCTGGGCCTCTCTCGAGGCCTCCTAGACAGGGTCCGAGTGGATGGGATTGGAGGATGGCGCCGCATCGCCGATGCACCAGCGACGTCGGCGTGGGGAAGCACGGTCTCCACATCGACCCGCATCGTCGATGCATCGGCGATGCGGCGCGATCCTCCGACCCCATCTACTCGGACCCCGTCTAGGAGGCCTATAGACTCTCTTCCTCCTCTGCCATCCAGGGCGTTGGCCGCCGCCTCCCGGGGGTAGAAAAAAACAGCAAAAACCTGCTCAAAACCCAACGCCTCGAACATGCCCCCTCCTCTGGAATCCCGAAACGGTGCGGTGCCAGACCGTGCGGTGGCCTCGAAATCCCGCAAGACCGCACAGCACGGTCCGTCAGCGCTCTGTTTTGGGACCCTGGAGGCTCCAGCCGCCCGAGACGTCCTCGGAGAACGACCCGAGTCCCAAAACCGTGCGGTGACCCCGAATCCCCACCGACTCGCCACACGGTGTGGTCACCACCCCATTTGGGCCTCCCCCCTCCTACTGGCCAGAACCGGTGCTGGGCTCCCCCAGGCCCCCAATGGACCCCAAGGAAGCAGGAAAGCCGTGCAGCAATGCGGGACGCGTGGGCAGACAGCTCTGCCAAAACGCTGCCTGGGCCGCGGCTGGCGAGCCGAATTAGGAGGAGGAGAAGGAGGAGGAGGAGGAGCAGGAGCAGGAGGAGGAGGAGGAGGAGGAGGAGGAGGAGGAGGAGGAGGCGGAAGGGGGCGGAGGGGGGCAGAGGAGGAGGAGGAGGAGGAGGAGGAGGAGGAGGAGGAGGAGGAGGAGGAGGAGGAACAAGAAGACGAAACAGCAAAATCAACAATAATCCGCCGGCACCCTTGCGGGGCCACCAGGCTGCGAGGGTGAGGATTGCAGCTCCCTGTGCCAGTTGCAGCTTCCAGTTTCCACTGTTACAGTACTGCTTTCTGCTTCCTTACTGTGAATTATTACTGAACGCGCGAGGGGGGGAGCTCCAAACCACCTTTTCTTACCACGCCCAGATCGCGTTGTCTGAATTCCTGGGGGGGCGTGGGACACCTAAAAATATATGAAATTCGCGTCCCCAAGGCCATAATCCCTAATAGTTTACACCATATTCGCGTCCCCGAGGCCATCAACTAAAGTAAATTACACCGTATTCGCGCCCCCGAAGCTATAACCCCTTTTTAAATTACTCATTAATCGCGCCTCCGAAGCCATGAACTTTTGTAAATGACGCAATCTTAGCGCCCCCTGAGACCCTAAGCCCATGTAGATGACATAAGATTCGCACCCCCGACAAAAAAAAACCATCGACAATTATATGATATTCGCTCCCCAGGGCCGTAAGCTCTTGTACATTACACCATGCTTGCGTCCCCGAGGTCGCAAACCCTAGCAAATTATACAATATTCGCGTTCCCGAGGCCATGAACCTTGTAAATTATATAATTTGCGCACCCGAAACCATAAGCGTTAGTAACTTGACGATGTGTGCGTCCCCGAGGCCACTAACCCTTGTAAACTAGATAATAGTCGCGACCCCGAAGCCATACACCACCGACAATTACCTAATGTTCGCGCCACCGAAGCCATAAACCCTCGTAAACTAGTATTGGCCCTCGCGTGAGGTCCCGACAATGCTTCACGTCAGCGTCCAGACACAGCTCTGGCAAGTCCCATTCTAAGAGAGGGGGGCCGGCGGCATGGGGGCGAAGCCCTTACAGATAACAATAATAATAACTAGGATTCATTAAAGGAAGGTGAGACATACTAATCAGAAGAACAACGTCAAACATACTAATAACATTGATAATATTCCAGATACTAATACGGCGAATTCCCAGACTAAAAACCCATACTAATATTACTACGACTACGAACAGTAACAAGACGAATGCTAATAACAGTTCAGCGAATAAGACAAGTGTGACTAAAGACAATACACATAAGAAGGAGAAGAAGCAGAGAACGAGGAATACGACTAGTAATACGATTACTTCTACGAGGAAGAGGAATATTCAGAGGAGGAGGAGGAGGAGGAGGAGGAGGAGGAGGAGGAGGAGCTGGAGGGGGAGGAGGAGGAGAAGGAGGAGGAGGAGGAGAATGAGGATAATAAGAAGAAGAAGAGCAGGAAGAGGAGGAGGAGGAGGAGAATAATAAGAATAATAATAAGAGGAAGAAATATAATAATAATAATCATAAGAGGAAGAATACTAAGAAAAATAATAATAATAAGAAGAAGAATAATAAGAGGAGGAGGAGAGGGCTTCGCGCAGATCCGAGGCGCCGGCCACCGCCTCGGGGTCCGCCCCGCCCAGGCTGGCGGCGAGCCGCGCGCGCCACTCCGCCAGGCGGCGCGCTTCGGCCTCCCAGCCGCGCCGCTCCGGCGCCGCGGCGGCGTCGCGCGGCCAGGGCGCCCCGTCGTGCGGCGGGGCGCCCTGCCCGGCGAGGTCCTCTGGCGGGCGACGGGCAGCTTGCTCTTCCTGGCCATCGCTCGGACGTCCATTCCCTGCGTTTTTTTCGGTTTCGTGTGGGTTTTTTTCGCAGGATGCTCCAGGATGCTCCTTCATAATCCCCGCCGAGACAAAGTGCACACGTCCGAGCGATACCAAGCTTCGGTAGCAAGTCATGGGAGCCTGGTATGCCCTCCCCGTCCCTCTCCGTCCCCGTCGCTCCTCCTCCTCGACGAGGGCGCCCCGTCGAGCCCACCCTCCTATAGGGGTGCACGTGCCTCCTCGGAGGGCCTCCCCTGTCCCTCCCCCCTCCTCGGTGTGGCGCAGCCACAGGGTGGGTATCCCTTCTCACCGCCTCGACGGGGAGGGGGGGGGGGTCGGTCGATGTGCCCCTGCCCCCCATGGGCGGCCCCCACGCCGACGAGTCCAGCCCCTCCTTCTGCAGCAGATCATGGGAGCCTGGTATGCCCCCGTAACTCCACCTTCAGCGTCGATCGGCGTCGACGAGCGTCTGGGAGCTGATGAGATCGCGCCGATTTGGGCGTCGGTTCAGCGTCGGCTCGCGCCGATTTAGCGTCGACGAGGGTCGATTCGCAAGAGCCGACAAGATAGAATGGGAGGCTCCCACGAGCTGCCACAGAACATCTTCTCCATGCCCCTGCTCACGCCCCAACCCCAGGAGGGGCCAGTGCGGGGACATGGATCAAACTTCCTGCCCCTGGGGTGCCAAGTTTTCTATCCCTGCCCTGCCCCTCGGCGTCCAAGATGGAGGCAGCAGCAGGGGCATGGATGAAACCGAGATCGCCGATCTGACCTCCAACGTCCTCGCCGATCCAACCAGCCTCGGGCTGACCCCGATCCCAAAGTAAGGTTGACTGGCCCGAGGGCGACGGCAATCTCAGGGATGCGCTCTCAGAAACTGAGGGTGTCCTTGAGATCGGCATCGAGGTAGGGTGATGCCAATCATGGGGACAGAGATCTGTTACAGACTTGTGATCCTCCACGAGTCCCTCTGACTTCCAATGTCTCGAGAAGCTCAACGCGGATTAGTTTTGCTGCTTCTGGCCTCCCCTGAGATCCTAGCGTCTCAATTTTTGTCAAGCCGGGCGTTGACGTCGGGTTTCGCAGCCCCGGAACTCTCACAGATCGATCCAGCTCGAAATGTGCCGCAAAACGATGGGGGCGAGGGCTCTGGTCGTGGTTTGGACGATGCTGCCATTTTTTCGCGTCGTCGGATCTCGGGGTCTGGGAGCCCCCGCTGGGCCCCCGTCCCAGAAACGACCTAGGGGCTGGAGGTCGGGCCCTGGGAAAAGGTCCAGAAACGTACCGCTGAGATCAGACGTCGCGAACTTAAATTCGCCGGCCCAACGGGCCAGGGGCGTGCTAAGATCTCTGGTAGCTGGTAAACAATCTTTCTAGTTCGCGCGCGCGGGGCGGGCCCTGGGGGTCCCTGGACGAAAAATACCCCGGCAGACTCCCGGCAAGGTCCCGGCAAGTCCTGTTCAAGGATGCCAGAACTCTTTTTCGGAGCCCCAGAGGGCTCCAAATCGGTCCAAGAGGGCCCCAAGAGGTCTCCCAGACGGTCCAAGAGCGCCCCGAGACGCCGAAATATTACTTCACAACGCTTGACCTGGCCTCCAGACGGCCGAACAAACCTTCAAGACCCCCCAAAAGGTTCCTAAGCGGCGTCCCAAGGGGCCCCAAAAAGGCAAACATCGTCACATTCCCTTCGAAAAACGTACATTTTTACCATAGCCGCGTCGTCGGCTTCCACACCGTCCAAGGCGGTCCAAGAGGTCCCCAATATCGCCCCAAGACGACCCGAGATGTCCCCGAGACGGCTCCAAGAAACCCCTAAGATGGCCCAAGAGAGATCCAGGATGGCTCCAAGAGCGGGCCCAGAGGGGGAATTTGAACGGACACGTCGAGCCTTCGGCCCAAACACGCCCCCCTGGAGGCCCCTGCAAGCCCCCAAGAGGCCCCAAGAGGCTCCGAAGAGGCCCCAAAAGAGCCCCAAGAAGCTCCCAAAAGGTTCCCAGGAGGCCCCCGGGAGGCCCCCAAGAGACCCGCCAGACCCCCGCAAGAGGCCACCAAGAGGCCCCAGCCAGAGCCCTCCACGAGGCCTCCAAGAGTTCCCAGGAAGCTCCCACGAAGCCTCCAAGGGCTACCAAGACTCCATGAGGCCTCCAAGAATTCCCAAGTAGCTCCCAAGAAGCCTCCACGGGCTCCCAAGAGGGTCACAAGTACTCCTCCTGAGAAGCTCCCAAAAGCTCCCAGAAGACACTCCCAGAAGCATCCATGAGCTCTCCGAGATATCCCCCCTGAAGCTCCCAAGAAGCCTCCAAGGGCTCCCAAGAGGGTCACAACTGCTCCTCCTGAGAACTTCCCACTGCTCCCAGAAGACACCCCAAGAAGCATCCATGAGCTCTCCGAGATGCCCCCCTGGATCTCCAACACTCAGTTTTTCTCTCGTCCCTCACCCTCCGATCCTTCTCTTCGTTTTCCTGTAATTTCTGTCCAAAGCGGCGCCCAGAAGCCCAAAGAGGAGGCCCAAAGTGGGAACCGGAACGGACATATCGAGCCCTCGGCCCCAAGCGGCGCCCAGAAGCCCCAAGATGCTCCCACAGGAGCTCCAAGAAACCCCAAAGAGGCTCCAACAGAAACCCAAGAGGCCCCCAAGAACCCCCCAACGAGGACCCCGAAAGGCCCCCAAAAGCCCAAACGCCAGCGAGGGCACAATACGGGCCAGCGGAATGAGTCAGGCGATTAAATCCCACCAGCCCTTTAGGGCGTAGGTGGTCTAGGGAGTTTCCTCTGCCAACCCCCTTCTTCCCCTTCGGGGAGGGGTTTACCCCTCCCCTTACCCCTCCCCACTGACCTGGACGGGGCCGGTCGCGAGGTGTCAGAGCGTCCAAGATGGCCCAAGACAGCTCCAAGAGCGAACAGGCGAGAAAACACAAAACATTGATTTTACCTAGGTTTTGGAAGGATTTTGGCATCTTGGGGGGGCCCAAGAGGCGACTCGAGGCACTCTGGAGGGGCGGGGCTAATAAGCAACCCCCCCTTCTTTGATAGATCTCCTCCAAGATGGCCCAAAGAGCGCCCCGAAGGCTCCCAAGAGCGCCCCAAGAGCGCCTCAAGAGGGCCCCAAGAGACCCCAAGAGGCCCCCAAGAAGCCTCCAAGACGTTGCCAAGAGACCCCCAAGAGGCCCCAAGAGAGTCCAAGATGACCCAAGACGGCTCCAAGAGCGAAAAGGCGAGAAAGCAGAAAACATTGATTTTATCTAGGTTTTGGAAGGATTTTGGCCTCTTGGGGGCCCAAGAGGCGACTCGAGGCACTCTAGAGGGGCAACGCTAATTGGGGACCCCCTCTTCTCTGATCGATCTCCTGCAAGATGGCCCCAAGAGCGCCCCGAAGGCTCCCAAGAGCGCCCCAAGAGCGCCCCGAGAGCGCCCCAAGAGGCCCCAAGAGGCGCCCAAGAGGCCTCCAAAAGGCTCCCAAGAGACCCCCAAGAGGCCCAAGAGGCTCCCAAGACGCTCCAAGAGCGAAAAGGCGAGAAAACAAAAAACATTGATTTTACCTAGGTTTTGGAAGGATTTTGGCCTCTTGGGGGGGCCCAAGAGGCGACTCGAGGCACTCTAGAGGGGCAGCGCTAATTGGGGACCCCCCCTTCTTTGATAGATCTCCTCCAAGATGGCCCCAAGAGCGCCTCGAAGGCTCCCAAGAGCGCCCCAAGAGCGCCCCAAGAGGGCCCCAAGAGGCCCCAAGAGGCCCCCAAGAGGCCTCCAAGAGGCCCCCAAGAGACCCCCAAGAGGCCACAAGAGGCTCCCCGAGATACGCAAGAGGCCCCCGGGACCGCCAAGAGGCCCCAAAGACGGCCCAAGAGGCCCCCAAGCTCGCCATTGTCCTCCTCCTCCTCCTCTTTTTCTTCCTCCTCCCTCCTCCCCCTCCCCCTCCTCCTCCTCCTCCTCCTCCTCCTCCTCCTCCTCCTCCTCTCCTTTCCTCCTTCTTCCTCCTCGTCCTCCTCGTCCTCGCAGTCCTCCATCTCCTCCTCCTTCTATTCCTCCTCCTCCTCCTCCTGCTCCTCCTCCTGCTCCTCCTCTTCCTCCTCCTACTCCGACGACGACGGCTCCTCCTACATCCTCCCCCTCTTGGGGTATATGGCGGCTCACCCCGCCCTTTGTTCTTCTGCATGCTCCCCCGCTTCCCTCATAACCTCCACTCCCCTGGGACTCATTTCTGGACGGGCTGGTGGGGATACGCGAAGCGTCTAGAATTAACATAACCGCCACAAATCACGACTGGAGCCCTGTATCCCGTCTCTCTGCGGCATTTTTCGAACTGGGCCCATCTGTGAGGGTCCTGGGGCCCGAAACCTGACAAAATCGCCCGGTGCGCAAGAATTGCACAACGCCTGGAACGCAAGGCACTGCAAGAACCTGAGCTCGGATGTCCGGGAGGTCCTCTGGGAAGTCCTCCGGAGGCTGCGAGGTTGCCCAGTTCCTAGGCAGCCGGAGCCGCACGTGCTAGCGTATGCTCACAGTGATTTGCAGCAAGTAGTGTGTGTGTGTGTGAGAGAGAGTGTGTTGTGTGTTGTGTGTTGTGAGTGTGTGTGTGTGTGTGTTGCGTGTGTGTGTGTGTGTGTGTGTGTTGCGTGTGTGTGTGTGTGTGTTGCGTGTGCGTGTGTGTGTGTGTGTGTGTGTGTGTGTGCGTGCGTGCGTGCGTGTTTGCGTGCGTGCGTGCGTGCGTGCGTGCGTGCGTGTCTGTGTGTGTGTGTGTGTCTGTGTGTATCCGTCTCCCTCCCGCTACCGCCAGGCGCCTCCTCCTCTCCTCCTCGTGCATCGCGGCTTAATTCGCGTTCGTATGCCCTACCAATGCCTGTCCGCCAGCGCAGTCCCTCTGCCTAGCCGCCGACGCAAAAGTTTGTGTGTATGTTGACTGTATTCGTTCTTGTGGCCGTTTGAGCTCTGCAGTGCTCACAGCCCCAGGCTCACTGTCCACGCACAACGCTGGTAGGCAGTTCCTGCCTGGCGCAGCATGCGCAACACTAAGACGAAACCAGGACGAAGATAACATCGGGTGTGGATGAAATGGGAATCTCTTAGATCCGTCGGCTCTGGAAGATGCATTGGGCGCCGCGGCCCTCCCAGAACTTTCCGGAACGCTCCGAGAGCGTTGAGGAACGCTCTGGAACGCTCTGTGAAGGACTTCTCCTCATCCTAGCCCCGTCCGAAGCTCATCCATCCGCCGACCCCCGCCTCTCGGCGGTGAAAAGGCGTGTGAGACATTCGAGCGACGATCACTGGCCATCGCTCGGACGTCCATTCCCTGTGCTTTTTTCGGTTTCGTGCGTGGCATTTTTCGCCAAATGATCAAGAATGCTCCTCGATGGTCCTCGCCGAAGGAAAAAATGCACACGTCCGAGCGATGCCGAGATCAAAGGCAGGTCGTACGCGAGATGACGTGGCGACCTTGCGCGGTGGCTCATGCGGGCCGCCAGCGCAGCACGCTAACCGCATGCCGATGATAATAAAGGGACCCCCCCCCTTCAGTGTTTAGAGTTGATTATCGTCGCCCTATACAAAATTAAAATTGGGCGGCGAGCGCTGAGGCCGAACTTCATTATCACCTCGAAACGCTATGTTGAGATAGCAACATCAAGCGATGTTGATATAGCAACATCAAGCGAAGTGATCACACTTATCTCGTATTTTATCAGTATTTTATATTTGTACCTATCCCCGCGCGCGCCTGAACTGTTTTATCCCTGGGGTTGATTATCCATGGAAACTGAAGCACATGAGCTACCCTACATGAGCACTTAAAACATCGATTTTCATATAGCGTTTGTAAATTAAAATTGATAGATTTGGAGTTTTGAATTGTTCCTTTATTCTTCTCTTCTTCTTCTTCTCCTCTTCTTCTTCTCTTCTTATTATTATTCTACTCTTCTCTTCTTCTTTTATATTTCTATCTGTCCCCACGCTCGCCTGAACTTGATTATCCCTGGGGTTGATTATCCATGGGGTTGATGTCTCAAGCGAAATAAGCAATAGTTTGACTGTGTCTCAAGCGAAATAAGCAATAGTTTGCGGATGTCTCAAGCGAAACAAGGGATTTGTCGAGGATGTCTCCAGCGAGATAAGCCATTGTTGAGGATATTTCTATGAAAACTAAACGCCAAGGATGTCTCAAAACGTGCTCGGCTTGGTCTCCTCTTGATCATCTCTTACTTCGAGATTATGCTGAGGTCTGCTGGGCTACTTTTATTATCTCTCCCTGAACCCCGAACTTTATTATCCCCTAGTGTTTATTCTCACGGGCATGAGGTTATACTTCAAGCGAGGGCCCTCACGCGCGAGCTTACGCTGGGCATCGCTCGGACGTCCATTCCCTGTGCTTTTGTCGGTTTCGTGCGTGGCATTTTTCGCCAAATGATCAAGGATGCTCCTCGATAGTCCTCGCCGAAGGAAAAATGCACACGTCCGAGCGATGCCGAGTACGCGGGCAGCTTGCGCGCCAATGTCGGCGCAGAGAACTCCGCTCGTTTTGCGTCGCCCATTTGGCTGCCCCCCTCCTCCTTGCCCCCTCCCCCTGAACCCAAAATCCAGCTTCGAGGGGGGGGGGGCCTTCGAGCTCGTCAACGCGCCCTCGGGGCCCACGGAGCCTCCAACTCTACACACTCCGCGGCATCCAGGATGCCCAAGATGCTATCTGAGCTGCTTCACGCTGCGATCGAAGACGCCGAGAAGTGCCCACGAAGCCTCCGAGACGCTCCAAGGGGGCTCCAAGAGGACACCCAAGAGAGCCCCAAGAAGCAAACATCGTCCCTTTCCCTCGAGACAGCGTCCAAAACTGCTCAAGAGACCCCCGAGAAAGCCCCAAGACGGCCAAAAGGGCCACATGACGGCCCCAGAGGGCCCCAACCGGGCCGCGCGAAAGGCCAAATAGGGGCAACTTAAGCTGATATTTCCAGCCCTCCGCCCCAAGAGAGCCCCCGAGACCACCAGCAGGCACCCAAGTACCCTTCAAGAGGCCTCGAACAGAGCTTAAAAAACCCACAGCCACCAGAAGCATGAACTCCTGGCCTCTGCTCGGGATCGGCGGACTGGCGCAAGCATCTTGGACAAGAGCCGGGTTGCAAAGGCATCGGCAGACAGCAGAAGTCCTCTGGGCTCCCAGAGGCGGCGCGGTAGCCCAGGTCCGGGCCGCCTCCAAGGGGCCGCGCGGCCTGCACGGCGGCCGAGCGGTAGGCCTGGTCCGGCGAGCGCAGGCGCAGCAATCGCGGGGAACTCATCCATCGGCCAGCCTGGCGGGGCGCGTATCCGCTGGGTCAGGAGACAACTCCTGGGAAGCCGGTGTAAGAAATAGATAATTATTCAGCCCGATCGAGGGGCCGCTGGCCCGGGATTATCAGCCGGGTTCCGCGGGATAGTGAGCCTGAATTGGCCGCATTGGGCGAAATCGAGCTGGGCTGGGCCAGGGTCTCGACCAACGATATGCCATCGCCGATGCCGGATGTAACCTCCAGGGTCCAGGGAGCTCCTCCTCCTCCTCCTCCTCCTCTTCCTCCTCCTCCTCCTCCTCCTCCTCCTCCTCCTGCACCCTAAGCTGGGGCGAGGGGGCGGCAGTTGCCGCGAGGCAGCACCCCTCGCGCTTGGGAAGCAGGAGGTTATATTGGTGATTCTCGGGGCCCCGGGGCCGCCAAAGAACACGTCGCTCGGCACGAGCAGCCGGTCCCGGGGCCAGGGGCTCCAGACCTCTGGAGGTCCACGGCGCAAGCCCAGCCATGCGGCGTCCTGCTTTTTTTCAGGACGGCGCCTCCTCTTCCTCCTCCTCCTCCTCCTCCTCCTCCTCCTCCTCCTCCTCCTCCTCCTCCTCCTCCTCCTCCTCCTCCTCCTCCAGACCCTTTCCCTGGGACCGCTTTCTCATCCTGAGTCGTTTTTCGACGGTCCCGAGGCCCGGCGAGGGACCCCTGGGGCCAGAAGTGACCAACACAAATCCCACCCTGACTCTTTTTTTTGCGACGCGATCCGGTCTGGGAAGCAATCACGACGTCGGAGGTCTTGGGAGGGGGGGCCGGGGAGCTGCGTGCCTGCTGGGCCCCGAGGGAGCGTGTCCAGCAAGCCGGCCCGCGGATTGCCGGCCAGCCGGCGGGCGGGCGGGCGCGGCGCCAGGGGAGTGCCAAGAGGGCCCCTACGAAGCAGCCCCGAGAGGGGGCGACTTCAGGAGCCGATGTATAGTTTGTCGGAATCAGTTTTGACCCCCTCTTCTAGGCCCCTGTCTGTGTTCCTCCGATCGTAATGACAATACTTGGAAAACATGGAATCCAACCACAACCGAACAAATCTTTCACGTCGTCCCGGCACGACCTCCAGTCGTCCCGACACAACTTCTTGGGGAAACCAGAACTCAACCACAATCGAGCACATTTTACAACCCCTATCTTCGACAAATGCCTTCCGCACGGGCGATGGGTTGAGCAGGGACCGACCGTCCCGGCATTCCTATAGTCCTACCACGAAATTTTCTTAGAACCCCAAACATGTCCCGCAGAGGCGTCCCGGGAGCGGGCCCCGAGTCAAAATACCACCCCCCTAGGGCGCATTTTCCTCGAGAGGGCACGCCCGAGATGCACTTCCTCCTCCTCCTGGCCCTCCTCCTCCTCCTCCTGTTCCTCCTCCTCCTCCTCCTCCTCCTCCTCCTCCTGCTCCTCTCCTCCTTCTCCTCCTCCTCCCTCCTCCTCCTCCTCCTACCTCCTCCTCCTCCCCTCCCCCTCCCCCTCCCCCTCCTCCTCCTCCTCCTCCTCCTCCTCCTCCCCTCCTCCTCCTCCTCTCCTCCTCCTCCCCCTCCTCCCTCCTCCTCCTCTCCTGCTCCTCCTCCTCCTCCTCCTCCTCCTCCTCCTCCTCCGCATAGGCGTCCCGGGAGCGGGCCCCGAGTCAAAATACCACCCCCCTAGGGCGCATTTTCCTCGAGCGGGCACGCCCGAGATGCACTTCTTCCTCTTCCGGGAGCACGTCCCAACTCAGAATATCACACTCCCGGGGCGCACTTTCTTCGAGCGGGCCCACAAAGGATGCACTTTTCTCCTCCTCCTCCTCCTCCTCCTCCTCCTCCTCCTATTCCTCCTCCTCCTCCTCCTCCTCCTCCTCCTGCTCCTCCTCCTCCTCCTCCTCATCCTCCGCTTCGTCCCCCCACTCCTAGCCCTTTCGATCAGGGTCGGCGGCACTGGCCGTCAGGCCTCTCCAATATTCTTAGAACCCCCAAAATGTTCTAAGAACAAAAACAGTGTTCTTAGCACATTAACCCGATGTGATAAAACAAGACAGACTCCGCCAAAAAGGGTCTAAGAACATTTCGCGGAAACCACGAAAGGTTCTTAGAACATTGTTTGGTAGGGCTATAGGCGAGCCAGGACGCTTCGCCACTGCTTGAATGGGTGGCGGTGGTTGGGCAAATCTGAATTTCGATCCAGGCGCACCCCGAGCGGTGGGGCCGTGGCGAGGAAGCCGTCGTTGGAAGGGCTGAAGGTATCCTTTCGCCGCACCCGCCCCAGGAGGGCAAATATGGGAAAAGGTTACGTGCTTTGACGATTTCGCACTTTTTCTGGCCATCGCTCGGACGTCCATTCCCTGTGCTTTTGTCGGTTTCGTGCGCGGTTCTTTCGCCAAATGATCAAGGATGCTCCTCCATGGCCCTCGCCGAAGGAAAAATGCACACGTCCGAGCGATGCCCAGTTTTCGCCTTGTCCGCTTGTGTTGGGCCTCGGGGGCCTTCATATGGCCCGCCAGGAGCTGCCAAGATGCCCACCTCCAAGCTAACGCAGTGAAAGTGTGCCATCTCTTCAGCATGAAGGCGCGGTGCCTGATACCAGAAGGAACGTGTGTTTGCAGCTTGTGCGCTGCACAGCGCCTCCAGTGGTTGAAATCTGCCAGGTGGAATGGGAACCTTCGGAGGCCCTTGGCTTGTGCGAGCGTCCGCGGCTAGCTCTCTTGAGCGGAAGCCCAGCGGGCCAGAACGGATCGGATCGCAGGTCGAGGGGTGCCACTGTCAGGTCGGGCATGCCTTCCTACGGGCGGAGTTTGAGAGACAGATGAAAACAAGAGTCCGACCATACCAAGAAATACTCGACAAAGCACGCAACATATCGCCACCAGACCACTTTGTCACTATTCTCGAAGAGTCCTTCTGTAGAGGGACATGCCCGGCCTAATTTGGGCGCCCGAGTTATCCGGGGCAACTCGGGTCCGGGGTAACTCGGGATTGCATTCCCGAAAAAGGAACCCGAGTTAGCCCTGACCACAGTTGCCCCTGATGATGTGGGGCTCTGGACGCCCGAATTATCCGGGGTAACTCGGGTCCGGGTAAGTCGGGTTCGGATTCCCGAAAAACGAACCCGAGTTAACCCTGACCCGCGTTACCCCTGATGATTCGGGGCCCGGCCTAATGCTACCGCCGGCCCTCGCAGCCGCTGCGTGGACCTTCGAGGCCGTTCTGTCGCCCTCGGCGGCCTCAATGCAGGACCGCCTCCGTGGCCGCGGCGCTCTCGCACACAGCAGGGGAGCGAGCGGTACCACTTGATCGGGCGTGGCTTAATGGGGGGGTCACACATGGGGGGGTCAGAAAAGGTCCCCTTTCGTGCCCCTTTCGGGCCCCTCCAGAGCCCCAGAGGGGCTCGTTTAGGTACCATTTGGGTACCTTTTTGGACCACGCTCGCCGCCCCCCCATTTATGATCCCCCATTACGCAGCGCCCAACTTGAGCAGGTCCCGACCGTTCCGGCATTCGTTAGCTTAGAGCATGTCGTGGAAACCACAAAAGGTTCGTAGAACATTGTTTGGTAGGCCTATGGGCGAGCCAGGACGCTTCGCCACTGTGTGAACCACGACGCGAGGCGTCCTGGGAAAACGCAAGACCAGATTTGGCGCATCCGACCCCTCAACATCTCCCTGCCTCGCCCGGCGCACCAGGCCACTCCCCCCCCCTACCTCTTCCCTCCTACCTCCTCCTCCTCCTCCTCCTCCGTCCCCCCTCCGTCCCTCTGTCCCTCTGTCCCTCCCTCCCTCCCTCCCTCCCTCCCTCCCTCCCTCCTCCTCCTCCTCCTCCTCCTCCTCCTCCTCCTCCTCCTCCTCCTCCGTCCACCCCTCCTCCTCATTCCGTCCCTCCTGTCCCTCCTTCCTCCTCCTCTCCCCTCGTCTCGTCCTCGTCCTCGACCTCCTCCTCCTCCTCCTCCTCCTCCTCCGTCCCTCTGTCCCTCCCTCCCTCACTCTCTCCTCCGCCTCCCTCTCCCTCCTCCTCCTCCTCCTCCTCCGTCCCTCTGTCCCTCCCTCCTCCTTCTCCTCTCCCTCGTCCTCGTCCTCGTCCTCGTCCTCGTCCTCCTCCGTCCCTCTGTCCCTCCCTCCACAATTACTCAATATGAAAATACTCTCCCTCTTCCCCTGATTGCGTCCGGGTGATGGCCGCGCACCCTCCGCGTATTGTTTTTTTACACACAGGATTCCCGGGAAATCCCGGGAAACGACTCTCGCTGAGGCGCCGGCGTCATTTTCGGGCCGAACGCCCCCCGCGTACTTTTTCCCAACCATCCTGTGGTGTTGGGTCCTCGTTTTGAAAAGACGGCGGCCCGCGTCTCCTCTCCTCCTCTCCTCCTCCCCCTCCTCCTTGCGTTTCACCCACCCAGCACAGCGTTTCGTAGCCCCACAGGGAGCTCCACCGAAGGCCCCAGTGGCTGCGCTCCCATGCGCCCGCCGCA